GCGTGCGAATAAAAAAAAGTTTTGCAAAAAAAAAAAGTTGCTTTCATTATGAAATCTACGTGGTCATGAGGGTTGAACAAATGGGACAGAATATGGTTTGGCGAATAATCTTATCTTCAAGTTCATTTCCTTACAATTTCGTCTTTTTTCGTTTGATTTTGGCATTCTACGACATTGGTATAGTTTTTACTTATTTTTTTGTAACTTACGGTATTTTTTTGCTCATTTTGCAACTGTTTTGTACGATTTACAGTATGGTTGAAAACTTTTTTTTTTTTGGAAACGGCCGAAAATTCATGCGCGCGCGGATGTCATCCATATAATCAAATCAACATGGCCTAAGTTGCCTTCAAGATGGATTTAAAGTGATTCCTGTACTGTTAATAGATATTATTAAGACATACATGTGCGTCTCTATAACAGTAGCTGACTTTATTTTTATGTTTATCGAAGGCAAATATATCGTTTATACTCTGTTTCCTCTTCTTCTTCTCCAAACCAATAAGGTCAATGACCTGAACCAGACGTCTGTCACCATGGTAACTGGTGGTTACATTATGTTGTAGCAGGAGGGATTTAGACCATATATATGAGTGTTTTTGAGTAAGAATTAAGAGCAGACCGTATGCGAGGGTAAACATTGAATTTCCTAAAGAAAAGATCAGGGTTTGATTGACCTTTTTTACATCTTGTTCTTAGATCGAAGAAGACTTTAAAACACAATCAGCAGAACTAGGCATCCAGAAACTCATACAGAACTTTGCTGAAGGCAAAGGAACAGGCACGGAAAAGCCAGGTAAGGAGCATTATAATTAGGCCACAGCAAGTTATTTTTATGGATAACATCAGCACACATATAATTATGTTTACCGAAGGAAAACATATTGTTTTTGCTCCATTTCTTCTTCTCCAAACACTAACCTCTGACCTGGCCAATGGCCTCTTTTGTTTACGTCTGGCACCATAGTAACTGGTGTCGGGTTACACAATGTGGCAATTTCATAGTAGGCATGTAGACTCCTGTCACCATATACATGTATGTGAATGTGTTTGAGTAAGAATTAACAGGGCAGACCATGTCCGAAGGTAAACATTATGCATTTGCTTTGCAAATGTTACTTTTCTAGTTTTTGCCTGATTTTGGAAAAAAAACAAGTAACTTTGTTGCCCAGTGAGTCTGAATTTTGTTGCCCACATTAGATTTGGAGTCTGTAGAGGATATCATCCATAAAGTTTACTTGATGTGGCCTTATACAAAATCTACAAGATATCTAGCTAGCTGGTAGAGCTGGTAGAGCCGAAAATGTCTATAAAATGTTAAACGGACAATAGACCCTTTTTGGACATTCTCAAAAATTCCGGACATTTTTCAAACATTTCTAAGAATGTCTGAACAAGGGCTTTACAGGGTCTTTTTTGGGAGGACTTGCTTGTTGTGTTTTCCATTGTTCTTGAGGTGTCTGTCAGAATGTCTTTAGAAAAAAAGTGTGAAAACTGGCATGCATATGAAAAGCACTGCACAAAGCCAAGACAATTTATAGGGGAGGACACCATTAATTAATAGACAGATGCTAATATCTTTATAAGTGCGCATTGTGCTAAACAAAGGACTGTCTCCTAGGGGTGTCCCTACCTGACGTGTGAAGAAACTATGGATATAAAATGTCCACCTTGGGTTATTTCGATGTCGTTTTTCAGTAACTATGTCTACTTAATGTTCTCCTGACTGGCCTTTGTTCAGCAATGTCTAAATCATGTCTATTGTCCGTTAAACATTTTATAGACATTTTTGGCTCTACCAGAGCAAGGAAAACAGTAGAATTGTAGTCTTTCAAAGTAGAAATACAATGTACGTCTTCCAGCTAACTTTACTCTCTAGTTGTAGCAAGGAGGCTATAAATGGTAAAAAATGGAAATGAGAAAAGAATAGAAACGAGAAAAGATTGATTGATAGTTGCATGAAAATGTTAGTACAGACAGAATATATTTTTTTGGGCGGGGCGCATCTCCTTTTTCATAATATCATAATCAGTATTTTATGTATAGCAAAGTTCTTTTATCAGAACCATTTATTTTTCACTAGCCAACGTTTCGATGACTGTCTGTCATCTTCATCAGGGCAATTCTGACTGGTTTGCTGTGCACTGACACTAGATGTTACTTGCATAGTGCACTAAAGGTATTACTAAAGCGACAGTCACAACCCGCCGTACGTGCTTTTTCTCCGTACGTTTTTTGGGAGGCTACGTCTGCTACGTTTTTTTTTTGAAAACGCGGAGAAGGAGTGGCGTCGACGCACGTCACTCGCACGGTTGCACAAAGTGTAAGAGTGTGGTCTGCACGCCAAGTCTGGCCGTGAGCGGTTGCGTGCATCGTACGTTGAGCAAGTGATAAGTGAGTTGTACGTGCTTACAACGTACGATCTCTGTGCGATTGCAACTTTACCGTAAGGAGGCCGTACTCACACGTGCTTCTTCTGCACGGCACGTACGAAGCACGCCTGTCGCTCGTACTCGCACGCACGGGTGGTGAATCCGCAGACCGCACATAGAAAAAGTTTTACATGCATTTTAAGTTCTACGGCGTGTCTGCGTGCTCCCAAATCCGTAGGATTCCGTACGGAGGTGGTACTCACCTCTCACGGATGCCCTGCGTTTGCCCACGTTTTTGCACGTAGACAGCACGCAGAAGCATGTACGGCGGGTTGTGACCGTCGCTTAAGGGTCTGACTGCTGTAGCTGTATGTTGTGTTTCTTGAATATTCTTTCCAGTGGTTCTGTGACTCCTTTTATATAGGGTAGAGTCACCCTACCTTTAGACTTGTCCTCCTGTTTCTTTTTGTCTTTCTTCTGTTTGGGTCTGCTTTTTTGATGTTCTACTTTTCTGAATGTCCAGTCTGGATAGTTACATCGGGCGAGGGCCTGTTTTATGTGTTATATCTCCTGCTGTCTATCAGATTTTAGGCCACACCAATTTAATTTGTTGGTTCTCAGATTTTTTCAGAAAAAATATGAAGCGACAGGGCGAAAAAAATAAAAATAAAAACAGGCCTAGGCATCCTATTATAGCTCCAAAATTGCTTCGATTGGAGCCATGAAGTCAACACAAAAGGCTGGGATAAAATTTGAAACAATGAATTTTGAACTTTTAATCAAACCACTGCATTAAAAGATTGAAAAACTGTAACAACTAGGAAGAAAAGGACTTTCCTCAACTGTTGGGAGCAAAATATGAGCATTTTTTAGTTGATTCAGAACCAGAATTATTTTTTTTTTTTTGCAAATCAGAAAAAATGTAGAGGCGAATCCGAGAACCAACAAATTAAATTGCTGTGGCCTTACGGAAGTATTTTATGTAATTCTTAGGCAACTGCTGTAATAATAATTATAACTGTTCAAGTGTTTGTTCAGACAATGGTTCTTTTCTTCCTCTTCTCAGCTGCAATAGAGTTTGAGGAGTGTGACCTGTCCTCCCTCCCACCGGCCATCTCCATGGAGTCTGTAGAGAACAACGGAAAGGAAACCCCGGTAGTAGAGAAGGCAGTCGACAAACTCACCAAGAAGAAAGAAAGTAAGTAACAAAATTCTACTTAGGCCACACCAATTTAATTACTTGGTTAACGGATTCGCCCGCTTCATTTTTTTGTGATTTACAATGAAAAATAAAAAATTCAGAATCAACTGCAAAATGCTCATATTTTGCCCTGAACAGTTGAAAACAGTCCTTTTCTTCCTAGTTGTTACAGTAACTTATTCCATCTTTCAATGCAGTGGTATCATTAAAAGTTCAAAATTCATTGTTTAAATTTTGAACCAGCCTGGTGTGTTGACTTTATGGCTCTTATCGTACCATTTTGGGCCATAACAGGATGCCTAGGGCTGTTTTTTTTTTTTGGCCCGCCCACTCCATTATTTTCTAGAAAAATCCGTTAACCAAGAAATTAAATTGGTGTGGCCTTAGGCCTAGGAAAAAAAGGTTGTGCTTCTTGTTTCAATTCTGAAAAAGTTAGGATTGGTAGGTTGGGATTATCTTTTTTTCTTTCTTTCAGAATCTTATGTTAGACTTAGGCAATCTCTAGTGATCCAACTTGTGATCCAACTTATGCAATATTAATACAGCTTAACAAATTGAAAGTTGCGTGAGGACACTTTCATTTCCAATGTCAATGTTGGAAAACTAATTGTACACACTCAGGTCAGGTCATGGAGCTAGAAAAGGTCAATCAGCTTGAAAAATTCATGTCCCTTGCAGGGGTCCACACAAAAAAGGTTGAGTCGTTGTTTCTACCTCAGAATAATACTTTTCAATCTATTTTTCTGACAAGAATGATAAGAGATGATACTACAGAAATTATGCAGCTCACTTGAAGACATTTTATAAGGTACTGAATGCAATATTAACAAAGACTGGATGCTCAAAGTTGTAGCCTGTGAAACCCAAGCTCCGGGGGCTCCCTTCAGGGCAGACAGTACTATTAGATCTTGCCATAGGAACACATGCTTAAATACACTATTTCAACACCTCATGAAAGTACTTGCCCATACTCCAATCTCAAAAATTTTTCTGCACCAGGTAGCAACAAGGGTCTGATTCCCAAAAAAAGAAAGGAAACAGGGGGTCGACCATCTCAAATTCCTACCACAGCTGATGATAGTAACAAAACCTCAACTTTGACCTACATTTTCCATGGTATCCATCCGCCTGGCCAGACAAGACCTAACCACTCACATCTTTCACTACTCCCACTAAACTGGTGAAATAAACAAAACTTGACCAATGTAGGAAAGTTTAGACCCTACCTGTGCCTTCCAGCCCAAAAATCTCCAAAATGGATCAAAACTTTCAAGAGAAAAAAAGGATTTTCAAAGGTATTAACTAGGCACTACAATCGTGTTCCCATTTTTTGGCCTCTACTGCGCAACGCAAATGTGGTGTCTGCCCTACATAGTCCGCCACCCAAGACTAGTACTAGGGAGCCGGCGAAAAGCAAGGTTCAGATAGGCTACTCAAAGTTGCAGCTATCCTCAGTTGTAATTCTTTGCTGTTTAGAGGATAATGATTCTATGATCCAACAGCCTGGTGGTATTACCCAACTGCAGTTGTTGAAGCAAAGACAAATAAAACACACACACACATCTTGATATTTTTGAAATTCACCTTAACTATTTATTTACTCAGGTTTTATGTACATGTCATGTATGTATGTACATGTATGTAGACACCTTTGTCTCTGCATTTGACTGCAAGGAAATCCACAATATTTTTAAAGTTGAAGCATACAATGAAATTTGACCCTGATGTCATTCATCTACACGTCATGTATGGCAATCCCACTATATTGGCCCTGCAGTTACATGTATAGCAGTAACTGCCAGGTGGCACTGAAGCAGGACCAACTAGACACCCTCAGAATGGTACAACTTTAAGGCCACACCAATTTAATTTTTTGGTTAACTGATTTTTCTAGAAAAATAATGGAGCGGGCGGGCGAAAAAATAAAAAATAAAAACAGGCCTAGGCATCCTATTATTGCCCAAAATGGTACGATAGGAGCCATGAAGTCAACACACCAGGCTGGTTCAAAATTTAAACAATGAATTTTTAACTTTTAATGATACCATTGCATTGAAAGATGGAATAACTGTAACAACTAGGATGAAAAGGACTGTTTTCAACTGTTCAGGGCACAATATGAGCATTTTGCAGTTGATTCTGGATTTTAATTTTTATTTTTAGTTGCAAATCAGAAAAAAATGAAGCGGCGAATCCGTTAACCAAGAAATTAAATTGGTGTGGCCTAAGCTTGTTTTTTGAAAACGTCATACTAAACTCTATGTTTAGCATACATAATTATGATTCATTGATTTTGTTGTACTCAGACTGTACATGTAGACCCTCTACCCTGCAGTGGTAAATGGATAATTCACTGATGTTGTTAACCCCCAGCAGACCCTCATTTTACCAGTGGTAGCAGCTGGGCTGGAGGTTATTGTTAAGTCAGCTCATCCAGTAATCAATATATGTGTAATCTGTATTGACCGTGTGTGCTGCTGGTAACTTCTCTCTACTTACCCAAAACAGGGCTTGAAATACTGGGTGCATGTGCACCTTAGTCATGCCCGTAGCCAGGGGGGGTTCGGGGGGTTCGGAAGAACACAAGGCTAAAAGGTCCACTTTTTGGTCCACTTTTTTATGTTAAGGTCCACTCTTTGGTCCACTTTTTATGTAAAGGTCCACTTTTTGGTCCACTTTTTATGTAAAGGTCCAAGATTTTTTCTTGAAAAGATGGACTGGAATCGTAGAAAAACTGCTCCCTTTGTCATTGAATAAAAATTTATCTCTGATTTTTTTCTTGAAAATCCTCTCAAAAACGCACGAAATGCCATTTTAGAAGGTTCATTTTTCAAAATTTTTCGGGGGAGCATGCCCCCAGACCCCCCTAGGAACCTCGCGCCTTCGGCGCTCGAGGTCCCCTCTAGCAGTGGGAAGAACCCCCCCCCA